ACACACACAGCTGCGGGCCCGCCCTTGAGGCGCTGAACGCCTTCGTGGTTGTTGTCCTTCTCCCTGGTGACCTCCTTTGCACTTAACGGCTTTTGCAGAGACATTATCTTGAACAACCCGCGGAGGAGGAACGCCCTGTCCCTGGCCATGCTGCGCTCCCTCCGGGAGGACCTGCTGCACGACGTCAAAAGCAAAGACCTCCGAGTTATCGTCATCTCGGGTACTTCCCTCACTTAAGGTCGACGGAGGAGAAGGGGAGGGCGGGGGAAGGAGCAGGAACGGCGGGATATCGAGTCTTTTAAACCGAAATGTCTCACAGAATCACAGAAAATGGGGCTTGGATGTCTTTCTCCCCATGCAGGGGTCTCCCGTGGGTGCCTTCGCCCTTTGGACCCTGCTCTCACGCCGTTCCTCTGTCCTTATCCCAGTTTCCACTCTCATGTGTTAATTCCTCGTTACTGAACACAGCATTAACAGCTGGCTTGGCTTTGATATGGTGTTGTTTGTAGTTAGCCTGTCTAAGAACGCTGTGGAAACACTTCTCAGAATGTATTTCCTATGTTATGCAGCATGTTTGCAGAGTCGGTGAGCTTTTTCCTTTTGTAAAAGCAATCAGTAGATGAAATAATTGCTTTACAAACTGTACATAAGGAAAACTGTAAACAGAACAAAAGCCAGGTTCTAATGGTTGTCAGACGAAAGAAATAACATTCCCAGATACAGGTTTTCAAGGAGGAGCAGGCTGAGCTGGTGTTGCCTTTGGTGGCAGCTATAGATGGCAGTAAACAGGGCTTGCAGGATTTCTACAACTCATCTGCTCTGTTCCCCTGCTATAAACCAGGATCAGCCTTGTTATCTTTGCCACTGGTTCATCAAAACTGTTTTTCAAACTCCCTGCTGAAGGAGAGGTTGTAATACCCAAAACCTGCAGATGTAGAACTTTATGTCTCAGAGTCTATTACAGTTTTCTTCCATTTAGGTATTAACTTGTAGAGTTTCTAAAGATAATGGAACTAACATTCTGTGATTCTGTGAACTGGAGCTGTGTTTTTTTCCCCTGCTATTTTAGTATAATCTTCCCCGTCCCACTTCCAAACATCTTGGAGAAGTAAGTTTATTAATTTAGGATGCTGCTGTTTCCTGTATGTAGAGGAAGACACTGTGTGTTAATGCACGCACATGAGAGTGGTTGTAAGCTGACTTAAGGATGAGTTTAAATATACAAGTTCAAACATTTCAAACAGCAGTTAAATATTTGGTGAACCACTACAGGTTCTTTTGGGGGGAGTGTAGTAGAGAGGGAGTTTGCGAGCATGATTTGGGGTTTTTTGTTTTATTTTATAAAGAAATTGCATGTTCTCGTTGATTTCCAATTCCTTCACTTAATAGAGTGCAAAAGAAGAAATCTCAGGAAAATAAAGACTTATCAGGAAATGCTCTGAGTGTTTATCACAGACTTTGTAGTGAATTCTTCATCAGTGAGGCGCAAATGCAGATGTGATTAATTTCCAGATATGTATTGTTGATCCCATAAGCTGCCTAATGTTAATTATGTGGTTATTTCTGGATAGACTTTGTCACAATAATCTGGTCCCTAAGAAGTAAATGCATAGGTAACGTTGTGTCTGCATAGTGGTAGCTGGAAATGGCACATCCATACAAATACCTGAGAAGTGTTGAAGCATCAAATAGGTTTATTCTTATGGCACATATCCTCATGACAGAGAAACATTGTTGTAAAGATAGTGCAGTCATAAAGTCTGTTTTGATCTTAGCTGCCACTGAAGGCAAGCAAATCCAAAGCTTGGGTCCACAGAAACCTGCTGTTTTGCTGCCCAAACCCTGGACATGCTTTTGTGGATTCTCTAGATGACAGGTTTAGCAGTGGCGGAAGAGGTGCTCCAGCAAGCCTTCTAGTGCTCCTCTGGCAAAACAACCTTTTTTCTTTTTTTTTTTTCCCAATTGTGGCCTTGACCACTATGACACAAAAATCTTGATGCTTATTTCGCAAAAGTTAATCATTAAGGCTGAGTACAACAAATAGGGACTGACTGTATTTATTAGTCTGAGAGCAGGGCACCCCATGCTTGCTCCAGATGAGTAGTTTGTGTTGTACCATGGGGCTCTTTAGAACCGTATTCTTACAAGAAGCTGGGCTCACGAGTGTGAAGTGCCTTATTTGTAACTGAGTTAACTTGGAGTGGAAGTAAAACTAGGTCTTTAAAAATGTTAATGGGTGTTACTGTGGTTAACTGTTGTATTGTGGCAATTTAAAGTTGTTAGAAAACCCATAAGGCAGTCTTCTGCAACTATGGGTAAAAGAGCCTTCCCAAGCTCCCTTTTGATCATTGACATTTCGTTAACGTACCTTTGCTGGGGCACTGATATGCTGCTACCCCTGGTTTCTTGATTAACTGAGAATGACTTTTCCTGAAATTCCTTGCAGCTGAAGGACCTGTATTTTGTTCCGGCCATGATTTAAAGGAACTATCAAGTGAAGATGACGTGAAGCATCATTCCCAAGTGTTCGAAATATGTGCAGAGGTAAGTAGTTCTTAAGTGCCACCCCTTTTGCCTGGTATTAAGAGCAAGCAATGATACTGAATTGAGGAGGGACAACACTACTCATCTGCTTGCTAAAGCATGGGCGGTTGCTGCACATTCCAAACTTTTTGCTGCTCTGCCATTTTAATGCCTGATCCTGCTTTTTTTTTTCCTGGATTTCTCTACACGAATGTAAAGGGTCTAGAGTGCCAACACGCACGTCTCCTACGATGGGCACAGTCATGACGTGTTCCTTAGTTTAGACAGTGTTCCTTGCAGTGGAGTATTCAGGCAATGTCTTTCCCAGAAATTTAGGGAGAATCACCATCAAATCATTTGTCATCGACTATTACAGAATCACAGAATGTTCGAGGTTGGAAGAGACTTCAAAAGATCATCTAGTCCAAGCCCCCTGCCAGAGCAGGATCACGTAGGGCAGGTCACACGGGAATGCGTCCAGGCAGGTTCTGAATGTCTCCAGAGAAGGAGACTCCACAACCTCCCTGGGCAGTCTGTGCCAGGGCTCTGTCACCCTCACAGGGAAAAAGTTTTTCCATATATTTTTGCGGAACCTCCTGTGTTCCAGCTTGTACCCATTGCCCCTTGTCCTGTCATTGGACATCACTGAGAAGAGCCTGGCTCTGTCCTCCTGACACTCTCCCTTGATGTATTTATAAACATGAATGAGGTCACCCCTCAGCCTCCTCTTCTCCAAGCTAATGAGACCCAGCTCCTTCAGCCTTTCCTCACCAGGGAGATGTTCCACTCCCTCCATCATCTCTGTGGCTGTGCTGGACTCTCTCCAGCAGTTCCCTGTCTCTCTTCAGCTGAGGGGCCCAGAACTGGACACAATATTCCAGATGTGGCCTCACCAGGGCAGAGCAGAGGGGGAGGAGAACCTCTCGACCTGGTAGCCACACCCTGTCGAATACACTCCAGGATGCCATTGGTCTTCTTGGCCATGAGGACACATCCCTTCCCTCTAGCAAGTCCGCCGCACCACACAGCTTGGTGTTGTCGGCAAACTTACTGAGGGTGCACTCAATACCATTGTCCATGTCATTGACAAAGACGTTGAACAGCACTGGATCCAGAACAGACCCCTGAGGAACTCCACTTGTCACTGGTCTCCACGTGGATATCAAGCTGTTGACCACAACTCTTGGAGTGCGACCTTCTAGTCGGTTTCGTAGCCACCGAGTGGTCCATCCATCAAGTCCATGTCTCTCCATCTTAGAGACAAGGATGTCACGTGGGACAGTGACAAATGCCTTGCACAAGTGCCGGCAGATGATCTCAGTTGCTCTTCCCATATCGATCAGGACTGTAATTTTGTCGTAGAAGGCCACCAAATTAGTCAGGCACGATTTGCCCTTAGTGAAGCCATGTTGGCTGTCACCGATTACCTCATCATTTTTCATATGCCTGCCTGGTTCTCCTCTGACAGCAGCCCAGTTCTGCTGTGATTACTGTGGAGATGAAGTTGAGAAGCGTTAGTTTCCTTATTTCCTCAGAAGACAGCCTTGAGGCAACAGCTGAGCCAAGCTGTTCCCCGTGCTGGTAGGTGGACTGATGGATGCTCTCAGGTGAGCACTGCGGGCAAATCACCATTCTCTCCTAATAGCCACCTTTCAGTTTGATGAAGAGGAGGCTGAGGAGGAATCTCATCGTGCTCTACAGTTACTTGAAAGGACATTGTAGAGAGGTTGGTGCTGGTCTCTTCTCGCAGGTCATTAGGGACAGAACCAGGGGGAGTGGTTGCAAGTTGCAACAGGGCAAGTTTAGGCTGGACATTAGGAAGAAATTCTTCATGGAAAGAGGGGTCAGACACTGGAACAGACTGCCTAGGGAGGTGGTTGAGTCGCCATCCCTGGATGTGTTCAAGTGTCATTTAGATGTGGTGTTGGGTGATGTGGTTTAGGGATGAACTTGTAGTGTAGGGTCAATGGTTGGACTCGATGATCCCAAGGGTCTTTTCCAACCTGAATTGTTCTATGATTCTATGATTCCCAGCCAAAGCCAGGGAGCAAGCACCTCTCTTCAGAGCGAGGCTGAGCAGGACCATGGCTCTTTGGGCAGCTCCACTCAAACTCCATTGCTGGAGAGTGCCTCAGAGCTCACATGACAGTCCTCCCCAAGAGCATTACCCGTTCTGCTCGTAGCTAGCGCTCAGTTTCCCAGTCAGAGCAGTCAAGGGGATTTAATGGTGCAGTTAAGGGGATTTAATGATGCAATTTTCTGAGTTACCTAAAACCAACACGGACAAGAAAGAAGAATTAAACCAGAACTTCTTTTGAAGGGAGAGTTTATGGTGCTGGATTCTTCAGCATCTCCTACTACTGTCAGGAGGAGGCTGACTGTGGGCAGCTCACACTGTGGCAATTCAAGGGTGGTGGCTGCCAAGGCAGCAACATGGGAGCACCATGTTGCTTAACTTTCATTAATAAAGAGAAATAGCAAAAAATAACAGGATGTCAGCATTTAGAGTTAAAAACAAGCCTCACTTTCTTGGTGAGAATGGTGCTCTACTGTGGAGTAAGTTTAGTAAGGGAGCACTATTACAAATAAGAAAATGTTACACCAAGTTCAGATGAATATTCCTGAGACCATGAAATTCAGCGAAAGGGAGACACTCAAAACCCAAGTGGATACGGTCCTGGACAACCTGCTCTACCCAAGCCTGCTTGAGTAGGGAGGTTGAACTCGATGATCTCAAGAGGTCACTGCCAACATCAATCCTTCTGTGAAATTCTGTGAAATTCAGGAAGAAATTAAATGCAAGAGATGAAATGTCACTTTAAACAATCCTGATAGTGATAAGTGATTCATGGTAGTGATAAGTGCTTTGAACTCTCTACCTGCGTGCCCTAAAAGGATTTAAGTTTCTCACAGATGACAGCTCACTTATCCCTGTGGAGGAGGATGTTCTTGCTGTTACATAATAATGGCACTTTACAGGCAAACAGAAATAAAGAAGTTAATTTAGGTTTTATTTAAGATCCTGTCTAATACCTGAATGTACAAGTTTGAGACAGCTGAAAGGGTCACTTCTCTAGAGGCTTTTCAAATACAAAACCATAAGTACCAGCTTTTTTTTTTCCAGAGAAGCAGTTGACTTTGTGTTTTTATAACCACACGAGTACTCTGTAGTTGTTTATCTGCACATATTGTTACTCTTTTGTTGTCTGCTTCTCAAAATCCACTGGATTTTTAAACAAACTTAATGTAGGTGATTTTACCTAAGCAGAGTAAAATTTGCTAGACCTCATCTGCTGAAGAGATGGCAGTAGTAAATGGAAATTTGTTATCTTGCTACACTGTGCTAATATGAGATTTATTTTTTTAAAATCCAGATAATGACGGTAATCATTTAACTAGCATTTTCTATCTTCAGGCATTAAAATTAAGTGAGTTTGTTGAGTCCCACTGTATGGAAGGAGAACCTGAGTTAGAAAAGTTAAGACAAATTCATCTTTCTTGACTTCAGCTATCTGAAGTTGGATGCCCAATCCTCAGGAATTATCTGAGAGAGAGAGAATGAGTTTGTTTTCCCACCTTATGTCTAATGCAGGAAAAATTGTTTCCTGGCAGGTAAGTCTCTCCCTGGAACGCACAGGAACCCTACAAGTATGTCCAGTGATTGGTTTGGATGAGATCAACCCAGGCTCAAGGTCATGCAGAAACCAGCAAGAGGCTGGCTTGATTTCTTGGGACAGAGACTTAATTACTAAGTCAGGTTTTCATAGTGGGGCAAATGAGGGTGGGGATGGTGTGTCTTGGCTACACATCTTCCTACAGCCAGGAACACCCGGCAACGGAGCAGGTGTTGGAGCAGCTGTGGTCTTGTGCATTAGACTGGGTTTTACAGAGAGCTTACTTCTTTTACTAAACTCCAGTTAATAAAGCTGAAAAAATGCACAAATCAGGTGTCTGAAGCAATTGTAAGTTTTAGAACAGTCGCTGCTTAAATTTCATGGACTAACTGACCACTTTCTTTTGTGCCTGCAGGTTATGACTTTAATCCAGAAGCTTCCGGTACCAGTGATTGCCAAAGTAAATGGCTTGGCTACGGCAGCAGGTTGTCAGCTTGTGGCAAGCTGTGACATCGCAGTGGCAAGTGAGAAATCTCAGTTTGCTACTCCTGGAGTAAACATTGGACTGTTCTGCTCCACACCAGCTGTGGCCCTGGGGAGATCTCTTCCAAGAAAGGTAGGCTTCCTTCTCAGACGCTCTTTGGAATTTTGCAAGAAATAGGTTCTCATGTTAGGAGTTTTAGTTCCATTGCCTAAACTTTGTTTTCCTGCAGTACAACATTCAAAATACTTCACTGTGAAAGACATCTTCATAACTCTTTGGACTGGGAAGAATAATAAAGAGGTGAACTCAGTTTAGGAAAAGCAGCTTCCCTGTGATACGATTCCAACTAGCATGAGCTCGTACCTGCAGCACAGCAGCTCAGCAACCCCTTTCCTTTCCAACAGACAGCTCTGTGCTTTAGACAGTGATGTTGTCCCTTGATGAGAAAACTCCTGCAAGATCTCAGTCCCGCTGAGGAATTAGCTCTTACCAGGCAGTGACATTTCACTGCCAGCATGATTTACCTGGGTGGAGATCAAGATGCTTTAAATAGCACCTAGAACACTCCTATACTTTCTTCACGCTTTATTTCCTACTCATTGTGGCTACACATCTCTCATTGCATGAACAATAGGATCCGTAAAGCTTTTGTAACTGAGAAAGGAAATTTTACTTTCCAATTCAGCTGAATACATGCTGACACACTCTCCAAGCCCAGCAGGGCTGTGCTGAGGTGCAGTGACTTACCTGCATAAATCCAGTTGCTGGATAAGAGTTTCAACATTAATTTCCCACTCGTTTGGATGTAATCTGCCTGTGTTTTTTTTTCCCAAGTGCTCTTGGTGTACAGTTAAAACTGTTTCTGAATTATATTTCTGGGGTTTGTGATTACCTTTTTTAAATGTGTGGGACATACTTTACCCTGTGTTACTTTTCAAAGTACCAAGAATATTCCCAACACTTCTCGAGATTAATGATTTTACCTTTTGTCAAATGAACTGTTGCCATTGTTTGTAGCCACCAGAGCAAAGATCCTAGTGAGGATAATCAGCTCCCACGATTGAGGGCATTGGTGGATTGCATCAGGAGTCGTGGAAAAGAATTCTTATTGATATAGAATATTGAATAGTCACTGTGTATTTGGGGACGAAAATTCCCCAAAGAAAGCAAAGCTGCAAGGCAGCTGAATTGACTTATTACAGTATTTTTTCTTGTTCAGGTGGCCTTAGAGATGCTTTTCACGGGCGAACCTCTTTCTGCCCAAGAAGCATTAATGCACGGGCTCGTCAGCAAGGTGGTGCCAGAAGACAAGCTGGAAGAAGAGACCATGAAAATCTCTCAGAAGATATGCGAAAGCAGCAAATCTATCCTTGCCTTGGGGAAAGCCACCTTTTACAGACAGATAACACAGGACCTTGATACTGCTTATAGAATGACTACTCAGGTCATGGTAGACAATTTGACTTTGAGAGATGGGCAGGAAGGTATTGAAGCATTTATTCAGAAACGTAAGCCTGTCTGGTCACACTCTGCAAATGAGAAGAAATGAATCTTGTTTCTAAGCTAACCTTAGCTGTGCTTTATGATTCCTCACGCAGTTGCCTTTGGGAGCTATATTCTTCTTCTTACTGAAAGTTAAATTTCTCTTCTTCACCATGCCAAAGACGCAATAAATTTATTCTAAGTATATAATAAATGTTAAGAAAAATCAAACCAAAGGGGTTTTTTCTCAGCCATCAGTTTAATCTATGGCTTTAGAAGGAACTCTGTGCTGCAAAAATCAGTTTAATATGCCCCAGGGACTGGGAGACAGCTCAGATCACCCTGTTCCGTACCTGTTCCCATAGCTCTGGATGTGAATTTCCAATTATTGTTTATTAATAGAGAATTAAAGGGCTTGGACACATTCCAGAGATCATGGTAATATATATCATAATGGATTCAAATACTGTTCATATGCTGAAGGCAAAAGCATTTAACAGTAGTCCGTAGCTGCTTATCAGTATAGCTGTGTGTGAGCTCTGTGTGTTACTGCTTTGTCTTCCTCAGCAAATCCTGTTTCTCCACCATCAGTTCAAGCACTTGTCCCAGCTGTAGAGAATTTTGCCACTGACTCCAGTGAGGCCGAGCATGGCTTGGGGGCTGCGAAAGCCACTGCCAGTGGGCTTCATCAGAGGTTCTCACCTGGCAGTGTTTTGACCCAGCTGTAATTTTCAGGCTGAATGTCTTTGGTTCATCACAGAATCTCAATTGTGTTAGTTGGAAGGTCCATCCTCTTGCTCAGAGCTGGGCTCTTACCGATGTGGGAGCAGTCCAGCCATGGATTTACAGTCTTGACAAACTACAGAAAGAGGAATTCAGCTGCTGCTCGGGTTAATCTGTGCTGTGCGACCCTCCTGGTAAAATATTTTTTCCTTAATGTCCAGTTAAGCCTCGAAGGAGGGGGTTTTTTTGTCATTGCCCCTTGTTACCTAATCTGACATTATTGAGAAAACATGAGCTCCATTATCTCTGTAACTCTCTTGAAACTGTCACAGGCTGCAGTTAGACCGCACTTAGACTCCTCTGTGCCAGACCGAACAAGTCCACCTTCCTCCACTCTCCTTGTAGGTCACATTCTCTAGGTAACCAGCTTGGTAGCCCTCAGTGGACCAATTCCAATTTCTCCACATCCGTTTTGTACTAGTTGTGCCAAAACTGGACTAGATTCCAAATGTGGCCTCACCAGCACTGAGCAGAGGAGAACAAAATATTCCCTCCATCTGCTGCCGCTTTTCAGCCAGTGAGTGTTGCTCAGCGTGCGTTTTGTCTCATTAGTGATGAGAGTGTTGGCTCACATTCAGCTGGGCAGCCACTGCACGCCGGCTTTCAGCTCCTCTGCCAGCCGGCTCCCAGCCTGTACCAGTGCTCGGCGTTACTCTTCCCCAGGTGCAGAACCTCGCGTTTCTCCTTAGGTTATGGTTCTTCTGGATTTAAGCCAGGCCGTTTGGTGCATCAGCCACTCCCCCAATTTGGCTTCATCTGTAGATTTGCTGAGGATGTGTTACTGACGATCATAGCGAACGGCATAAATTCCTTAGTTCTCTGAAGTGAATGAGATTCCCAGTACAGTGTTCGGACAGTTCTCTCCAGGGATCAGTTACTCCTAGGCAGTGTGGATGAGTCCGTGTGAGTTTGGCTCACTCAGCCCTTCACAGTGCCCCGAAACTTACCCCCACAGGCGTTGCCCAACGCTCCTGAGCATCCTCAGCATCGTGCTAAAAACCTGCCTCTTAGCTTGGACACTTTGAACTGAAGGCCAGCCCTGTCCTGGGATGGATCAAGAGGAGTGTGGCCAGCAGATCCCCCTTTGCTCTTGTGAGACCCCACCTCGAATACTGTGTCCAGTTCTGGTGCCCCCACCAGACATGGAGGGATATGGATCTGTTGGAACGAGTTCAGAGGAGGCCACAAAGATGATCCTGAGGCTGGAGCACCTCTGCTATGAGGACAGGCTGCGGGAGCTGGGATTGTTCAGTCTTGGAAAGAGAAGACTCCAGGGGGACCTAAGAGCTGCCTTCCAATACCTGAAGGGAACCTACAGGAAGGCTGGGTGGGACTTCTTACACGAGTGTCCACTGATAGAACAAGGGGAAATGGGTTTAAGTTAAAGGAGAATAGATTTAGATTGGATCTTGGGAAAAAATTCTTCAGTCGGAGGGTGGCCAGACTCTGGAATAAATTGCCCAGAGAGGTTGTGGCTGCCCCCTCCCTGGAGGTGTTCAAGGCCAGGTTGGATGAGGCCTTGAGTAACCTGATCTAGTTGAGAGGTGTCCCTGCCCATGGCAAGGAGGCTGGATTAGATGATCTCTAAGGTCCATTCCAACGTAGGCTGTTCTATGATGATGATGAAAAACTGCCGCAGCGCAAAGTCAGCACTTCCATCTTTGGGCCATGAAGGTGCTGTATAGAATCACAGAATTGTTTCGGTTGAAAAAGACCTTTAAGACCATCGAGTCCAGGGATGAGGTATGGAGCTCGAGGAAGCCCAGGCCAAGTGCTCTGCAGCGCAGTTGCTACAGATCAACTTCAAAAGGACCCAAGCATGAGGGTCATCTTGCCAAGGCCCTTTTTGGTCATGCCAGCGTTGTCGATATCCCGTTACGAGACATCACCTCATGGTTCCGTCAGTCTGCCTCCCGCGTAGTAGCGATGGGCTGTGCTGCATCAGGCGCAGCAGAATTAAATTCTGTTATTCCTTACATTGGAGCAAGACCTGGATGGTTCGGAGCAAAACTCAGCCTGTTTTCTTTCCACCTGCCCTATGCATTTTCATTCAAACCAGCGATACAAATACTTGTGTCATTTATACATACCCAGCCCCACAAAGCAATTCTCTTTTCCATATAACATGCATCCTCAGGATGAAGAGAAAGCAATTTTCTAGTTCTGCTGCTATTTTTAGTTTGAGGAATGGAAACTTAAAGTTGAATTTGCCCTTAAGAATAGTTTGTTTCTACAGGAATGTGAAAAAAAGGAATCATTGGGAATAGTTATTTTAAAAATACAAACTTGTACTGTTACTGCTGGGAAAGATGGGTAAGTTTTATATAAACTCACATAGTTTATATAGGTTAGGAACTGCTGTGCGCAGTTAAAAGATAAATGGATTAAATCTGGAGCCAAACAACCTTCATTGTGTCCTTTTTAATGCAGTAAGATACTGCACTTAGACTCTGTTCCCACATGCTTCTCTAAAAGCATTAAGAAAGAGTAAATTGTTTTTAAAAATATTTATATTTAATGGCTATCTTGCAACTACTCAGCAAATCTCTACTGGCTTTTTTGTTCCAGGCTTTTAGAAATAAGTACATTATCTGGTTTTTGCAGAATAGTGCTCCTTCCAACTAACTGCAGTAATAAAATGGTATCACTGGCCATCTTAAAATAGAAGTGATAGTTTAGATGAGCACATTCTTTCAGATATTTAGAAATTCTCCTTCTGCAGTTGATTGTCATCTATACAAATAGGGTGTGGCATTATTAAGTTCTGGTTATAAATTCTGAAGAAGAAAAATCTGCATTTTAAAAGGATAATTATTGAAATAATAGTTACACTGCAATGGAATCAAAGTCTGGTCATTTTATTCCTGCACACGGATTCAGTGAACACTGCTTTTCTAGGGTCGTCTTCTTTTTCAGTCTAAATCACAGGTGTGACAAACGTTTATGTCTCAAAGAAAAAAGCATTTTTGTTTTAATTCAGCTTTCACAGTATTTGTACTATCCTATGCAATAAAGTAATCATGTAATTAGCAATCATCGGTTCCAAAAACGGTGGCATCCACAGGAACATTTCCCTCTTGATTGAACCACTAGACAGAAAAGCTGTAGAAGGTTTTAGAACGTGCCCTGCGGACTGACAAAGCAATGGCATTTTTTCCTTTCTGACTTGTACGGGATCTTTATTTTTGCCCACATCTGCCTTTATTGTTTAATTTAGCAGATTTACAGGCTATTCCTAGGAAACAGACTAGTTCCAGGATTGTAAATTAAGTTCTACAGCCAAGAAACAGCAAACTAAATGATAGATTGGTAGCCTTACCGCTGTGGCTATCTGCTGCCTGAGGAGAGAGTTTGTCCCAAAATAGCAAGGAGTCTGTCCCTCCTCGCCCCATTCATTTTTATTAAAGCGTCTGCTCTGCAGCAGTGTCTGCCAGGTAATTAGCCTAGTTTTGAGTGGCCCTAATAGCATGTGGCACACACTCAGCCCACTCTGTAAACTGAGCACGAGTCCCATCTGTGTACAGCCTCCAGGATGCAGCTTATCGCTGCCAGTGACAGGCGGGGACACGGTTTCTCTTCACATGCACTGGAACAGCTGAAACGGAAACTGGGTGAGAAAATGCAAGGAAGGAATTGCCAGCGTGAATGTAATGAACTACCCAGCCGCTGACCTTGGGGCCCACGCAGGCCTTAGAAGAACAGCTTTGAGCCTTTACCTGGGAGTATCAGAAAAAAATGCGTCGGCAAAACCTGGAGGATATGAGCGTGTCATCGCTTGGGATGTAACTTACTGTAAATTTCCCTCTTCCATTTGAGTTTTTCCAGGAGCTCCTTGCCTAACCATGCAGGTCTCCTGCCTCCTCTACTTCATTTTCTTTTAGAGGGAATGCATTTATTTTGAGCCTGGTATAGGTAGAGTTTGAATGCTGACCAGCTCTCTTGTGCTTCCCTGCCTTTTAGAATCCTAGCCCATGGGATCCTTCTAAGTACATCTCTGAAGAGTTCAAAGTTAGCCCTCTTGAAGTCCAGGGTAGAAATTTTGCTTACTACCTTTTTTCTTTCCCTAACAATACTGAACTCTAACACACCTTCCTAACAATACTAAACTTCAACATATCACGATCACTACAGCCAAGATTGCCTCCAACCTTACCATCCACGACCAGACCTTCTTTGTTAATACAAGGTCCAGCATCGCACCTTTCCTCGTTGATTCTTCAATCATCCACAGCAGAATTATCATCAAGACACTGCAGGAACCTTTGGGGCTGATGATGCTTGGCTGTGGTATCTGCCAATTAATATCAGGGTGACTGAAGTCACCCATTAGCGCGAAGGCACGTGATGATGAGGCTACTTCCAGCTGCCTGTAGAAGGCCTCCTGAACAACTTCTTGGTTAGCCGGTCTGTAGCAGACACCCACAACAGTATCCCCCGTGTTTGTATGTCCCATAAGCTCTCAAC